AGGTTGAAAATTTTTACAGTGGATGGTAGAACTGTGGGGCTATATAATAATGAAAAGAAAAATTTGGATAACCAAGCACAACTCGAGATATCGAAGTTTCTACATTTTCAGCTGGTTTTTACACATGATTGCCATATTTTTTTTTAAATAAAAACTGAAAATAAACGTCATTTTCAGAATGAGCATCAAAAACTGAATCTAATCATATATATATATATATAAGTTTTTATCAAAAATTTATCCCTATTCCCCTTAGTTGCTTTTTATAATTGGTGTACTTTTAAAAATATGTAAATAAAATCAAAATTTGAAAAAAATCAATTAAGTACCACAGCTCGTGGCACTTCTCACTATCAACATTTTATTTTGTTTCATATTTCAACGTGGTAAAGATTAGATTTATTTCATTTGGACTTGACATTTCAATATAACTTCCTTTAACAAATAAAAATCATACGTATCGTGCGTCATCAGAAATCATAATAAACAAAAGAAGAAATCATTCTTGGAAGAAAAATCGTTGGAAACATCCAAATCTACGTAAGAATAACGCGTTGGTGGTTTTTGTTCCTCGTTCTTTGTCATGTCTGATTTCGTAAGCCACACTGATATGATGACGTCAATACACGGCATAAGCAATTGTGTAATCTTAACATTTGTTTTCCAACTTATTATGGAATAATTTACTATAAAAGCAAGAATAAAGAATATGAAAGTAAAATCATTTCATAATAATCATCATGTTTGATCCATCAATTGATAACACAGCAGCTGCAATGATGACCAGTGGTAATTGTGAGAGCGACAACACAGCAGCTCTTACCTACACAAGCAATGGCAATGATGGACAAAATTCTGGTTCGTCCTAGAATGATCAATATCGTTTACATTCCAAGTCAATTTGCATATGTATTTTACATCTAATTTTTGTTTGTTACAATCAAAATACTTTTGTATATATATGTGAAGATGTAATTGAAAATAAATTGTTAAAATATTTATGACAATCAAGATAAAAAAAAAAAAAAGAAAAAATCTTCAATCAGTCTAAATTATCAGAAGGATAGAAACACACATATGTGTAGGATATATAATCTTAAAATACATATTATTTTAAAATTTGATCAATAAATCAATAGGTATATCTTTGATAAACCATCCAAATGCATATTAGTATATTTATTTTTCTCTCTCTCTCTCTCATTTTTTTGTTAATATACGTTAGGAAATATTAGAAATTTTATATAGGCATGCTTCTGATTTTATTTTGAAAGATAATTATTCGAGAAATTTAATAACACAACGTAAAATAAATCATCGATAAATCAATTCATTAAATATAATATTCAATAATCATTCAGATTTTTATGGAACATTTAATGTATTGAAAAAAAAACATCAAGAGTAAAACTTTCATAAGGTTTTTAATTTCTAAACAATCTCCTATCAGTTGAAGATTTAACAAAAGATTCAATATTATTTAAAAAAGACTCAGTATCTAAGAATATAGGTGTCAACCTTTCTAACAGTAGTACTGACACGTCGCACTTAATATCACAAGCATATTCTTCAGGTGTGGTAAAAGTACTGCAAAAAAATTTTTTTTTTCTTTATATTATCTATTGTCATACAACTTTCTATTATAGAAAATAGATAGTAATGTAATTAAAAAATATACTGTAAATTCAGTTTAAGTGCATTTTCTTCGATCGAAATTGAAAGAGATAAATAATCATTGATTTATCAATAATCTATATTATGCATCTTACGAACAAGAATCGACTTTGTATTATATTCCTTAATAGAAAGATATTCAAAACGAAAATTATTGTTACCGCATTCGATATTATATGTTTCTTTAAAAAAAAAAAACAAGAATGTAATATTTCTTTTTTCGTGTTATTTTTATCGTATATATAAAAATTATTTATCGATTGATACAATGCACGTGGATATTATTTTGCGTTCTTTTGAGTGTTTTCTATATAAAAATATTTCAACGATTATTGTAATTAATCATGCATAATAATCGAATTTATGTTGTTATTATTATTCGAAAAGAAAAACTAAATGATCAATTTTTGTATAAATTCTGATATGAATGTGTAAATTTATAAGAGAACATTTGAAAACAATTTTGATTCTTTTGAAAATCATGTACAAAATGTTTGATTATATCACTAATGAAAAAAAAATTTTCTTTTCTTTAATTTACAAAAATCATATATTACTAATCTATATAAAAATCAATATTTAGTTAAGAAAAAGAACATTTGCCATATAAGGCAATATTTGATTTACTTCCTACAATAGTAAAATAAAATTATTTTTATATTTTTATATTTATAGAATTATATTTGCACTAATTTTAGTGACGACAGTTGAGACGCATGTGAGTGGTACTATTGAAGTAAATATTTGTGTATGAGATTCTTGATATTACACAATTGATTGTCAACAACTTTAGTCATGTACTTACATGTCATCTGAAAGAAACATATTTTTGTTACGAAAGGAAAGTTTCCAAGTGATAAATCACTTTTAGATAGAAACTACATCCAATCGATAGAGTCTAATGAGTAAGTAAATACTCTAGAATGATTTGAGCTGCTGGACCTTTATTAGTGAGATATTGAATTTTTCTTATAGAGCCTTAGTTTTCAAGCGAAATGATACATTTGAATTTTGACCTGAAATTTTGCTCATTTAAAGACATTAATTTGACTAGTTTATAGAAAGAAATTTCAGAATTTTTTTACTAAGTCCCGCTCCGAGATATAAATTTTTTAAAAGATAGACGCTTTACCATGATTAATGTGGAACGTTTGAGTACTTTGAAAGAGATATTCGGTCAAAAAATTCTGAAATTTTTTCCTACAAGTTAGTCTAATCGATCCCTTTAAACATACGAAATCTCAATAACAAAGATCAAACATTTCGAATCACTTTCTATAGTATTTATTCATTCACTAGACTCTACCGATTGAATATAGTCCAAGCTTGAAAGCGATTTATCACTTGCGAAACTTTTCTCGTTAGATGGAAAAATTAAAATATTGATATCATTGCTGAAAGTTTAATTAAATTTTGGTGATTTTTGGAAAATGATCTCAAACATGCTTTGTATAATCATTTTAGAAAAACATGTGCTTACAGTTTCACTATAGTAAAAGAGGAAATTAATCAATATAATTATATTTTGGTTTATGAATTCATATCGATGATGAAAAAAAAAAATTAATCGTAATATATTCCAGTGACTGTGAAAGAAAAGTAAAGGACAACTATCATACTAATTCTGCAGTAGACTGTAATCTTGCGGTTATGTGTGGGATGAAAAGTCAATATTTCTACTCTTATACTTCAATATTCTTTTTAGATCGTATTTTACACAAAAAATTAGTATAGGATAGTTGTGAGTCCAGAGAAGTCGAACATTCACACTGACATCCGAAAACTAAAGAAACATGTTAAACATGAACTTCTTGATGAAACATTATAACAACTAATTTTGACTTTTTATTTCATAACAAGAGATTTATATTTTTAAACTAACAAGAGTTCTGTTTAATTTTAGATGTGTTTGTCGACTTATTCACATAAAATTATTTTCTTGTATTTATTTAATTGTTCTTTATGTCAAGCTCAAGTGGCTAGAGTGTCTTAGTCATGCCAACTTCCGTCTTTTAATACTATAGTTACAACTTTAGCATCAAATCAATCAGACACTATACAATTAAGGCGAAGAATTGTTCAAAATTACCTTCTCATCGAATTGGACTTGAATATTAATAAAACTAAAACAGATTACCAAAAAAAAGTCTTCCACGATTACAAAATTGTATCAAGAATATTTATAATGTTATCCAGATCGAATGCGTTTATTTATTTCAATTCAATAGATAGTGAAAAAATTTTTTTTTATGATTATATGTGAAGCATTTAATCAACATCCAGTTGTTAACATTCACGAAATGTCACATCTGAGGATAGTTTATATTTTTTGTGTTAATACGACACGATTAATTCTATTACAAAAAGCCGTTGTCACCGAAGTGAAAGTCAATATCTATTATAAGCTTGAAAGCATAAAAAATGATTGATGTGACTTTGAAAAGGTCATGTTCTTTTTACGAAGAAGCACATAAGAAATGAAAGAATATTCGAAAACATTCTTGTTTACACCCAAAGCCTTGGAATTCATCAACAAGCTATTCCTTCAGATTATCTCAAGGAGAGAAAAAATTGTCACTTCAACATTTTGAAATACGAAAGTCATGCTTCTTCTTCTTCTTCTTTGAATTATTTTAATTTGGTTACTTCTTATAATAATATTTAAATTATTCATAAAAAAAAAAACGATGAAAGAACATTCGAAAGCGCTTTCATTTTTTTTGCATAAACACTTGAAATAGATCAAAGAATAGTTCATTCGTATTCTACTATTTCTTATAACAATATTACTGATGTATATAAAATTACCGTAGACTATATTAAAGTACTTCTATCTGATGAACTTTTGAAATTTTTCATATTCTAATCATCTTCAAAAACGGACGGAAGGATAAATAAAACAGAAATATTTTCGTATATACACTTCAGATTCATTTGAGATCTTTCGACGAACAATCTTATCCATTAATCAGAAATACGAAAGTCTTAATGAATTATTTTGACGTGACAAAAAAAAATTTATTACTAATTGTATCACAATAAAAAAACAAAAACACTACTTCAAAAACTTTGTTTTCTTTTTTTTTTTTCTAGTGATTTTCTAATAAACTACATGAATCATTAAAATTTCTATAATTTATTTCAACAATTGTTAATCACTATGAAAGTCATCTATATTAGCTGCAATACATTATGACTATAATGATCAGTATTTTCATATTCATCATAAATATTATTTAATACAATGACAGAATAAAACAAAAAAACACAAAGTGCAAAAGTCTACGTATATATACAAAAAATGAAATATATCTGCTTCCATTTCATTATCCACATAATGACAAGACCATTGAAATAATTTCTTCAAGAATTTTTACACCAGATGGTGTAAATGCATGCTGTATATAAGAAAAAGAAAAATTAAAATTAACAAAAAAAAAAAAAGTCAAATTAGAACATACCGACATATCCATAAATACAAAGAATTTTTTTAATATAAATGCCATTGTATCAAATTTTTTCTGTGGCATTAATTCTTGTATTTGTGATACATATGTTGTTCGATCTCGTAATAAAATAACAGCTAAAATTACACCAGCAAATGCTGCAACAAATGTATTTTCCATATGACCAGTTGCTTTTTGTAAAGCACGATTAAAATTTGTTCCATTTTCATTTGTAGGTTTTGTATTTGATTGTTCATCAAAATCATCATCATCAACATCTTCCATCATCCAATCATTTTCTTCAAGAGATTCAGCTCGAGCAGCTGATGATTCTTGTTCACAAAATAACTTAAATTAAAATAAAAATTTATTAGGACAACTCTTTTGAGACTAACATATGAAACTCACATGTATGTGTTCTTTAGTTTCATAATAGAAAAATATGTTAAGTGAAAACTCTCTAGTAGACTGTAGTTATTTTACAACAAGGATAACCGATCGCTTTCGAACTGAAATTCTCTTTTTTTTTTAATTGGCACTCCATGCTTTGTTTATCTTGATGGTAGAATCCATCGGGTTCAAGAGTTTTCGGATCCGAACCTGATTGATTAACCCTTTGACGGCGAAATCCGTAAATTTACAGTTTCAAAATTCGAATAGGCTAGTAAAGGGATTACTGATTGGTTTCATCTATAGTATATAGGAATAGCTAATTACTTAGATAAAGATCATAATTTATTCTTAGATAGTTGATTCACAAGTTCTGCATTTTTTGAAAAATTATATGCAAGGTCAACGGGCGCATATTGTTCTATAATAGTAAGCAGAATGGATTTATCTAAGTTTGAAGATAAAATTAGGAGATGTCAACATGTTTGCAAAAGTAGAGATAATATACTGGCATAGAAATGATATGATAAAAGAGAAGTTATAATGCTATCTACTATCCATCAACTTCATATGGGATTTACTGGAAAAAATGATCCAAAAATTAAATGACTTATTTAAAAATCAATTTCGATAATTGATTATAATTCTAAAAGAAGAGCAATCGACAAAGTTGATATGGAAACTAGTTTTATTGAATGTATAAGGAAATCTGTCAAATGATATAGAAAAATTATTTTTTCATATGCTTGATTTATTAGTCCTTAATTCATATTTGCTTTACAAAATGGAAATCAGAAAGAGATCTAAATCGGTAGACTTTCGTTTATAATTTATATGTGAAATTTTACAAAGTTATCATACTTCAAAAATTACAATAGGACGACCTGTACAGGGATGTAAATCAACGGGACTTACGGCTAGATATTTTCCTTTTCTTGTACCTCAAACAACTGAAAGAAAAAATCTTCAGAAAATTTATGTCATATGTGTACGAAGACCTAAAAAGAAAACTGATTCGCGAAGTCTGCCGTCAAAGGGTTAATCTTTTGTGGGAAGAGCCCATCGGGCCCAAAAATTTCTAGAATCAATCGACTCAAAACTTTTAGAACCAAACTCGACGGGCTCTACTTAAGCTTAGAAACACTAATTATGAATTATTTCCCAAAGTTATAACTTGTTCAGTTCACATTTTTTATGTATGACGACTGTGGCAAAGCAATGCATCAATATTCATCATCATTGACATCTTAAATATAAATTTTCATCAGAGTAAAAAGCAGAAAGTGCACTATTTAGAACTTTCAATTTCTAACGAAGATTTTGAAATGAGTCTGACACTTGTTGTGGAATCCACAAAAAATAAATTAGTTAATTAAAAAATTGAATTCTTTTTTTTTTAAATTCATACTTTAGCAAGATATTCATAAATTTTTAATGGATTTCCATCAGGCATATTTTCTTCCATTAAATATTTATAGACATGTTTTGTATTTTGTACGAGATTAATTAATAAATTAAGCGTCTAGAAAGAAATTTTTATAAAATAAATGTAAAAATTAAATTAAATTAAATTAACAAACCAATGCAAGTGTATCAAATTTATCTTCATTACTAAATGAACTTTTTTCAATAGTAATAAGTAAACGAAATAAATTTGAAAAGAATCGATTATCTGATGTTAAACGATCACAAATGATTTCTAAAATAGAAAAGAACAAAATTGAGAAGTAATAAATCCCTCAGAAAAAAACAAACGTGTTTATTCTATATGTCGATTCTTATTCGTATCGAGAGTCTTTAACACATATCAACTACTTAACAAAGTCCTACATAGTAAATTGAAACCTAATCTGAATTCTGATAGAGTTCGAGTTTCAATAGATTAAAAATATTTAATATGAATCTAGAATGGTTACATTTTGACATGTATTTTTGCACAAACACTCATCGATATTAGGCTTACTGATATCGCTGTATTTATCAAATCGATTTTGTCTATATCAAATGCTTACGAAGGAAGGCTCCCAAATGATAGGTCGCTATAAAGTTGAAACTATATCCAATCGATAGAGTCTAATGAGTAAGTAAATACCATAGAGTGATTCGAGCTGCTGAGCCCTTGTTACTAAGATATTAAATTTTTCCTGTAGCACCTTAGTTTTCAAGCGAAATTATACATTTGAATTTTAGTCTGGAAGTTAGCTCACATAAAGAAACCGATTAGATTAATTCGTAGAAAAAAATTTCAGAATTTTTTGATCAAGACTCTCCGAGATCCGAGTTTTTTAATATATAGGTGCTTTTCCACGGTTACTGTAAAAGATATTGATATTTTGGAAGGCTTGTATCTTGAAGATATTTCAGAGATGTCCATCGCGGCAGGATTTTTTTGAAGGACATTGAAAAACTGCATGAATTTAGTAGAATTTCAGGGTTTAAAAATGAAACATCCCGAGATTGAATGAATCTGATGGACTAGTACCAATATCTCTGGTCAAATATAGTTGCAGCAGTGAAATTAGAAACACTTCTTTAAAAACTACCGCGGCAGCGGCAGATTTTCAGCCGCAACGGACATCTCTGAAATACTTGATCAGAAAATCCTGAATTTTTTTCTACAGGCTAGTCTACAAAGTTTCAAGTCAAAATTCAAAAGTATGATTTCTCTTGAAAACTAGGATCCCACAGGAAAAATGTACTAAACATTCTAAATCTCAGCACTAAAGGACTAGCAACGCGAATCATTCTAGAATATTTATCTATTCACTAGATCAAATCGATTGAATATGGTCCAAGTTCGAAAGCGATTTATTATTTGGAGATCTTTCCTCGTTAGAAGATCACTCTGTTGTTTCCAATCTCTAGATGCTTTAATATACTCAAACCTGTTTTGTAAAAATAACAATCTATTAAAGACGATTTTCGGTGATTTTTTTTGACTATAGAAAGGAATATGTGTAGGCTTTCTCTATTTAATAATAAGCATATCAGCAAGTTCTTTTGTATACTATTGATCTGTCGACAGATGGCGCCACATGTCGATAGAGCAAATAGTGCGGAGTAGAATCTGATAATATATACGCCATTAGATAGAAGAAGTCCTTGTCTAGAAGCCTACATATATCCTATTCTGCAGTGAAAACCTAATAGCTACCTTTAACATTTTGTCTTTTATTATTAAATTTTCAAACATTCTTTCTACGATTTAATTTCTTCAACTAAATTTTACAATAGATTTCTTAATCGTATTAATTTAAATAATCACAAAAATTTATATTTGATAAACTTACCGCAATCATTAGTAAAAATCACAAGTATAGACATGATTGTCTTACATCCATCTCGAAATAGATGATGTATATTTAAATTTTTCATATTAGTTGTTGTTGTAGTTGCAGCACTATTTTCATTCATCGATGAATATTGTTGAAGCCAAATAAGCGAAAGATCAAGTAATCTTAAAAAGTTAAAATATTGAAAATAAAAACAAAGAACTATATTTATGATTTCTAGAAAAATTATACTTTGATAAGGAATGAAATAAGGAATATTGATTATACTGAGCAATATACATTCGATTAACATCTAAATGTAATTTTGATGATTGTTCAGAATTTTCATTTGAGAATTCTTCTAACATATTAATAAATCGACATAATTTTCTATAACGTAATGATAATTCTGATAATGGATAACATTGAAAATCATTATTTGATAAATCTTGGATTATTGAATAAACTATATTTAATAAATTAAATATAAATAAATTATTAAAAAATAAATAATATCTCACCTGCATTAATTATTTGATCAAAACCACCTAATATACGTATTTCATCTTGTAAAGATTCTTTTAAATTATGATGAGAAATATTAACAAACGTTTCAAGAATAATATCGCATGTCTAATAAGATACAAAAAAAATACGGCATAAAAATTACCAATTAAAAAAAAAGATCTTTTTTTTGTTTACATTAAATCTTTCTTCATAAAAAATATCTTCTGATAATGATTTATTATTAATTATTAATATTCGTTCTTTCATTTTCTTATATTCTCGATCATCAATATTTATTGTTGAACTCTTTGTAACTAAATCTAACATTAAACGTATAATATCTGAATTCATTTGTGATGTTAATATGTCTAATGAAAGTATATATAAAATAAACGCTGTGCATAAATTTAAACTCTAAATAAAATACAATGAAGAATATTTAAAACAAAAATAATAATAATAATAAATTTTCATTACCGGTACATCTGGCGCATCTTTTAATAAATTGAATATACGTTCGAGTGCACTTTCTGTTTGTATATGCATACGAAATGATGCTTTAGTACATAATTCAGCAAATTTAATCGCACTAATAAAAGGAAAAAGAAATAAATGTATAACAATATATGTACATTAGAATAGTATAAATTCGTATGTGATGAAAATATGAAATATAACGATAGAAGAAAGAGTTCTGGAATAAAATTCAAAACAAACTTATGTATCACGATATTTTATGAAAATTTCTACAGAAAAATCCGAAACTTTTATCAATGCATCAAAAATGAAATAAATCGTAAATTTTTGAAGTATGATTTCACCTGAGACAACGATCTCCAAGTAATTTTCCAGGTTGAAATCCTGCTAATAGATAATCCATATCATCAATATAACTTTGTGTTTCATCAAGTTCTGAACATGTTGTTGGTTGTCGAAAAGTTGAAACAGTTGTATGTATCTTTTAAAAACAAGCATAAAAAAATTAATTTATTAAGATTTTATATTTTAATCACTGACCTGTTTTGAATCAGTTTTTGTTGTACTATGTTGCATTATTGTTTTTGAACGAAGAGTATTAATTGTTGTTGTTGTTTGATTATTATCTAGATCATATTCATCGGTATTACCACCAAAAAAAGCTTTATGATTTAATTGTGTACGATTAGCCTAGAAAAAAATTTTTTAAATGGAAAAAAAAAAGTTTTATAATTTGTTAAAATACTTTATAATTTGTACTAAAAATTTTTCTTGGACCAGAATAAATTGTTTTATTTATAGTTCGTTTTGTATGATTTAATATAATTTTTTTCTTAACTGTTCCTCCTGTTTGATTTGTATTACTAGTTGTATCTTGATTTGATATTGCTGTTGATAATTGAGTTATTTTATCATTAGTACGTGATTTTGAATTAAAAAATATTCCACGACGAGAAGTCATTATTATATTGACAACAAAAGAAAAAAACTTATAAGAAGGTTTAAAATGATTGTATAATAAATGTTCTTTTTTTTTTTTTTTTTGTTTATCTTTTGACAATTGATTTTTATTTGCTAGTAGAATTCACCAATCATAAAAGAATTCTATTACTCATTTTTCTTCTCATTCCTATTTTATATTTATACATTACTATAGGTCGCGTGAAGTTAGATTGAGTCCATTAATCCATATTATGTCTATTTTATTTGTATCACAAAGAGAATAAGTAACTGTTATCGTTAGTTATAAACAATATTTTGAAGGTTTTTTAATATCTTTGATTTACCATTAGCAAGGATGAGGGCATAGATCTTCGTTTTAAGGAATTTGTACACTAACATAATTACGATCAATTCAAAAATAAAAAGAAATGATAATAAAAATATGTATTTGTTGATTTTCTTTTCAAAATTGTAATAATGTTTGTATATCGATTTACCATTTTTAACTTTTAGTCGAACAAGCTTTGATATATTTATTTATTTCTCTTTTTCTCGAAGTTTCTTATGTACATTGTTCTTCTTTTGAATTATTTGTTATGTCATTAATTAGAGATTTACATAGCCTAGATCATTGTCAGAAGAACGTTCAAATTGTTTCGTTCAAATGTAGGCAATTTCGATTTCTAGATATTTATTATTTGTTAGTAAGATTTTATATTATATGTATGTTCCAAATATTATTTAGACAATGACAGCAGCAGCATTCATATCGAGGAAAACTTTAAAGATGTTAGAAATAAATAAATTTGAAAGTCTTTAAATAGTGGTCACAGGTTACTTTGAAACTGGAAATAAACATCACCATTCGATTTAACGTAGTCAATAATCCATGTCTGCAGCTCTTTTGTAGATTTTCAAGTTGAAGTTGATGAAATTGAGGGTCTCAGAAAAACTCTTGAACGGAAGGTGCAAGGAATTTGGGGCTTGTACAGATCGAAGGAGAAGACTTTTTCCTGCAGATATGCTATATTACAAGTCAAAATTCAATGGGAAATGACTTCAGAATCTCGTTTTCAAAACACTCGCCAAAAACTCATTTGATTGGTCAATTGTTTGCCGACCAGATTTCGACTTACTTTGGCGGCTTCTAGTGTTTTCTATTGAATGGTGACAAGCTCAGGTCTTTTTTATATTGTTCCTATCAAAAGTTATTTAAAAAACATCCGGGTTCATTATATTTTGGCGCTGATAGTAGTCGACGTGCAAGAGCATTTATATACAAAAATACAGACAAGAGATGTTCAAAAGAAAAATGACTTTGCAATATGGATGTTGATAAGTGTCTTCTATTCACGCACACACATCCATCCAGTCACTTTACATCCGCAATAAATATTGAGGAATTTCAAATTTCGCCAATAAGACTTTCATCAATACACCTCCTAGAATATTTCCAAGTTGATTCTGCATTAGACAAAGATTTAAAAAGTTCCAATTGACTACATTGATGAGTGTAAGCTATAATATATCTATTCTAATACCATTAGCTTCAGTTCTCACATGTATCCTGTGTTAAATTGTTTTGTGACAGCTAACAAAGGTCTACTGTACTTTCGCTAGCGCATCCTCTAGAATTTCGTCAATTGGCGAAACTACAATGAATTTTTGCTAATATACCCCGAACTTTCGCTAATGGTGAATGTCCTATTGGTGAGAGTCTTATTGGCGAAGTTCCGGTAATCCAAATATTGTATTACTAATATAAATTACGATAGAATCTCTTTGAAATATCGTTTTGTCTTTGATTAAAATTCTTCTTAGTCAAGCTCAAACCGATGACTCTTCCTCGTACATTATAAGTATTACTTTATCAATAACAAAAACAAAATAATCAAAGTCGAACAAGCACGGTCATATACGGAGTTCGTATACAGTCTCCGTTTTGCTTCGTATTTCTCCATATACGATCACGGCGATTTACTATTGTAATCCTGGATCATGTAAACTGCTAAAATACGACTATTTACGAAGTCCGTAGTCGTCAATCTGGAAAATCAGCTAGTCAATATCTATCCAAAATATTTAATTCTCTTGTATAAAACTCATCTTACATTCGGTCGATAATAATAATTTAATTTAAAACTTAAACTAGTTTGAAGACGAATTATTATATGCATATAATTATGTCTCATATAACAATTTATGATTAATATTTATAGAAAAAGTATCATATTATTTTCTATTTCATGTACACGGTTGGAAAAAATATTATTCCAGGTGGGGTAACGCTATAATTTCAAATAGAAGACATAATAAATTTTATATCAAATGAAAGCTCGTTAAAAATGGGGTTTATTGGTATTAAATAGTGAGGGTTATGAAAACCTTTTAATGTCGAGCTTAATAAATTTTCAGAAATTTTATACTTTTTTTGTGATGGAAAATTAAAGTACTAGTGATTCAAGAATGGAGTAAAATGTTTTTCTTGAATATTTTTACACGGTTCGATAGAGCTCGTCGAGCTTTATAAAACTGTACACATTAAAAAAAATTTAAGACACTTTTTTTGTGATAAAAAATTCAAAAAACTATTTGGAAAATCTTAGAAAACATGAAAAAAATTCATATTTTTCATGTGGAAGAACAACACTTACTTTTTCAATAAAAGTAGCTTTTTTCATTGTTTTTACTCCGTCAGGCGTTTCGAAACATACTCATTAGACGCAGCTTTTCACACTGCATCGAACAAGTATATTTCGAGACGTCTGAGGTAGTAAAAACAACGAAAAAAGCTACTTTTATTGAAAAATTGAGCGTGTTTCTTCAATTTGAAAAAAAAAAAGAGTTTTTAAATGTTTTTGAGGTTTCCCGAGTAGTTTTTTGAACTTTTTATCTCAAAAAGATGCCTCAAAAAATTTTTAACATGTACAGTTTTGTAGAGCTCAACGAGGTCTATCAAACCATGTAAAAATATTCAAGAAAAAAAATTGACTTCATTTTTGAATCAGTGGCACCTTGATTTTCCACCCCAAAAAAATATAAAATTTCTGAAAACTTCGTAAGTTTGACATTAGAAAGTTTTTACAAGCCTCACTATTTAGTATCAATAAACCCCATTTTTAACGAGCTTTCATTTGATATAAAATTCATTATGTCTTCTATTTGAAATTATAGCATTACCCCCCCTGGAATAATATTTTTTCCAACCGTATACAACTTTCTAAATCTCATCTCAAATGTACCATCAATCAAAAACTTCTTTGGTTAAAAGTTAATGTTCTTTATCTATTTCATTTTATCCTTTAAGATAAAGAAAAAAACCTGTATTGAACAAAAACTCATGTTTAAATATTTTCTCTGATCAACAATTTACGTCCTTTATAGATTGTAGTCATTTTTTTGTAAAAATATTTTAGAACGATTTATTTTCCATAATGTACTTTCATTAGTCGAATATTTAAAAGCTAACTGTCAACGCTACTCGCTTTATAGAAAACTAATAAAATTGTCAACTTTAGATCAACAGAAAATTTAGAACAATTTTATTTCGCTTAAACTTAATTTCATACTCATAAATGAGAAATAGCCTTTTATTAATATCTGACAAATTCATGAGTTATAGCGAAAGTTACAATGAATTAGAAGCTTTTTTTTTAACTCCGATTATTGACTATAAGCTGAGAATTGTTACAAGTACTTGATTTCCGATCACAGTAAATGTAATGTACAACTGTAGTTGTTGGTTCAATATTTTTTTTAAAAACTCGTTTCTTTGCATTTCTTACTTTTTAAAATCCTTTTGATGTTTTTGTATTTTTTTTTCTATTACAATATTTTTCAATGTAAAACATGAAAAGAGAGAGAAACTTTCAAGGTTATGTACGACTTGGTATCATGGTATCAAATGTATCGACTCATTTTTGGAGCAATAGATTATATAATATTTCATTATCTTCATTCAATAATTGCAATTTAGTCGTTTATGTCTTTGAATGTATTTGCCGTTTTGTAAATTTGACAATAATAATTTTTCTTATGAACGGATCGAAATGAATAAAAAGTCGATTGAAAATATCTGTTAGTATCATTACATCTTCACATTTCTTAGATAAAACTTCACAGCAATGACGAATATTTTTATTGTAGCACTAAAAAGTCCATTTTAACAATTTTCCGAAGGCTACACTATGACATCTTTCTTTTAATTCGCATGATTGAAATCTTTATCGAACGATATTTGTAGTTTGGAATATTTGGACTTTAGAAAAGAATACCTTTGTTCATGTTCCTCTTATTGCTCACACTCACATTCACACCATCATTAATACTCGAAAAAATCATGGTTATTCTGAGGAAAATCTTCATTTTTTTTTTTGAGATTTCAAAAGCATTATTGAATGTTTAAAAACCTTGAATGCAAAGACAAAACAAGAAAAGAAGACTGAGGACAACATGAATTGCTTCATAACATCTTGTCTTTTGTCTATACGAGAGTTATACTCTAGTAAAATCTTAATTTTGCATTAAAATCACTGGCAAACATATCCTAAACACATGTTCTCGAAAACTATTACATGACCAAGCAACGAAGAGAGCATTTAATTTTTTTTTCATGTTGTATATCGTACAAATTTTGAAGAAGAATAATTGACTATTGAATCAATGCTAATTATTTTATAGATGAATTTGAGAAAGAAAATATTTTGCATGAATTCTTATTGAAGTGTAAACTAGAATTTCACAATAACAAAAAAACAAATTTTGATAGATTTTGTAAAAGAAAATAATATTGTATTGAAAAATTGTTTCACAAGAACGATATGAAATAATATCAAATTATGAATATTCAGCGAGTGTTGAAGATGCTTGATATTTATGTAGAAAATTTTTTCTTTTCAATTTTCAATCGACATTAGGATAAACACAATGCAATCGTAAGTATTAACATTCGAAAAAAATTTCAATTTAACTTAAGATAAAGTAAAGAAAATAGTCTTCTTCTTAGTATATGTGAAGGGA